TTTTTTTTTTTCAAAGATAAACATTAAAACAACTAAACAGATACATCTAAACAGATTTTTTTTCCGTAATTGGTGAAAATAGTAGACGAAATAAAATTGAATATTATCAAGCAGCAGTTTCCAAAGTTTTATCATTTACAATACAACTAAAAACAATAAAATTTTACATAATACATTGTCAGCAATTCACCCAGTGATTATTCAAACAATGAATAAAAACAAAAAGTTGCACCAAATATCAGCTGTAAAAGCTTTTTGCATGGCATATTGGTGTCAGGTTGAGCTGACAGTATCAACTTACAGTACCCGCTTGTCTATAAAATTTAATTTAAATATTCATCTATTTTTATTGATATAACATTTAGTATGTTTAAAAAAATTAATAAGTTTACTGACAATGTTGAACTACACACAACTTTGTTCAAAAAATTTTTTTATCTGCTTTCTGGATCTAACAACAATAATTGTCGACGAATCACTGTTACAATAATTTTTTTTTATTTTCTGTTCTTTTTTCGTTTGTATTTTTAAAGCATACTAATTTTAAAGAATTAATTTCACAAAAGGAATGACGTCATTGGTGTTGCTAAAAAACCGAAACAGACTAATGACTTGAATAGATCAGTTGTTGAATTATTTGCATTCGACGATCATATGATCAGTGTGTTGTCAGTCACCAAAAAATTGGAAGTAAAATTTTCGATAGTGTATATAAATTTTGCAAAGTGAAAAACAAGTGCATCTGTTATGGGTGCTTTTCACGAAAAAAAGTGATCGTCATGTTTATACTGAAAGATTTATGGAGCCAATAATAAAGTCTAATGCATAGGTTTCTAATTTTAGCATTTAGTTGGCCAATTTATTGCCTTCATTTTTCACCTGAATTGATGTCTGATAAGTTATACAAATTAAATGCTATCGATCACGTTTTCTTTTTCTCTGTTGCATATGCTGCTATGCTTTTGCCATGGTTTATTTTTGCTGATACCAAAAAAAAAAAGAAATAGATTTTCAAACAAAACCTATCCAGTTCCTACAGTTTGAAGAACCGTATGACGCAGAATAGAGAGTTCATTCTGGTGACAAACTTATGCTAATAATACAGTAAAGTTATTGTAATTGCCACTGCTAAACTAAATTCAAGCGATAGACACTACAGTGTGTTGATGTTAACTGTTAGTCAACTGTACTTATTTTTAGAAAATAGAATGTATTTCTTATCTTTAGAATTACCATTATGATTAAGTTGGTTGCATAAAACACTGATCGCAACACTGATACTCCAGTCGTTCTAAGACTGATCTTTTTTTCCCATCAAATCTGCTGCGCTTATTTGATTACCGGTCAAATAAAGAACTAATGTGAAAGACTAAGTTTTGCAAATACAGCTCTAAAAATAACTATCTGCAACTAGATGTTTTAAGAGGAGACAAATTTGACATTAATGCCTTAAAGGTCAATGTATGTAGTCTATGAGTGTTGTTCAGTGTGCTGAAATCTGATCCATTCAAATCAGTAACGAGACATGTTGCATATTGTAGAATGTTCAGCTTCAAACTGACAGCTTCTTTCTGTTGAACAGTTAATACAAAACAAATCGTTGATACAACATTGTTGATCTGTGAGCGCCAGAAGCAATTCGTACAGTTGCAAATGTTTTTCAATTAAAAATGTTTTAAATGATTGCTAAAACATATGTGTACACATAACCTTCTGCCTCATTTAAATTTAACATTCAACTTCTTATTTTCCACATTTTCACTCTCAATACTCCATTATTATCGTCACCCTATCGTTTTATAAGCAATCATCATCTTGCCATCTTTCTGGGAATACACCTGGGTAATGTTTTATGGTTTAAAAAAACATCTGTGTTGTTCGCGTAAACCTCTTGAAAAGAGTGCTTCCAACAAATGTTATAAATATCATCCCATCCCATCTTTATTTTTTTTTAGTCTTCTAACTTCCTTGTCTGTTTAGCGTTTATATACAGAGAAAAACAACTAGCGATTAGGAAAAGATGTTTTCTGACGTTCAGCAAAAAAGTGTCAACCCCCGTCCACAAACGAAAAACGTCCGGTCCTTACCCTAAAATTTTTTCAAAAAAAGTTTTCTGATCAATTAAATCACATGATCACAAAAAGATTTTGCTTCCAAATAGCCATGAAACGCTTTGCCAAGTCAACTGCATTCACATTCACACTAAGTACACTTCCCTGTCAAATCCCATCACATTACTTATCTTTCATACTTCTTCTTCAATAAAAAATCTAACTAGTCAGAAATTTCCTTATCACTCTATAATAAATCTAAAATACTTGTTGCTTTTTCTTTTGATATACTTACTAAGCACTAACTTTTACATAAATACCCCCAACGACTACTGTAATTTCACAGTGTTGGTCTCCTTCCTTAGTCCACATATATTTTTAGGTTAAACACAATTTTTAGTCATTCAATTTTTATTAATAATGAATTGTACACTGTGGCTTTGTTATTTATTATTATACAGAACAAAAAAAGAACTTTTTTAAGTTACACATACACTTTAAATAATCCCATTCGTAGATGAGTTACACTTTCTAAGCGCTAAGTGAGCATAAATTTTCCGTGCTTGCTGGAGCATCCTTAACTGTGACTTCACTAGAGACTGTACTAGTCCCATCATTTAACAATTTTAAGAATTTATCAGACTTCAGAAACCTGGGATAACTGTCTTTTTCCATCAAGTGCTCAATTCGGCTTTGAGCCAACGAAAACATATTTGGCTTGGCCCCTTCTTCCAACGCAGCTTTTGTGGCCGCTTTTGTATCAGCGTCCAAATTTACCTATAACAGATTGTTAAAATTGGTGACTTCAAGCACGGTAATAAAACCGAAATAAAAACTTTCTATCGATTTAAATGTGGTTGCTTTCAATTAAACTTTTGTTAGCTCCACCCAAACGTACTTCTTTCGGTGACTGTGCGGCTATATACTGATTATAAATAGCTCGAGCTCGCTGTTGAGTCGCTTTCTTTCCTTCTTTCATTTTTTTGAATTCTTCACATTCTAACCAAAAGTCAAGATTTTCAACACTGTATTCCGTCTTCAAAAAATCCCGAAAAATTAAAGAGCCATCTGAAATAATTTTAATAAGAATAACTCATCACAGTATATCAAAAATTCGACTTTAACAAAAATAAAACTGCATTTGCGTAACTGCAAAACAAACAAGTGACTGTCTAGTCTTCTTATAAAAATAAATAGTGATCAAACGAACAACCGGAAAAAGTAAGAAAAACTAACATTTATGGTTCAATAGACTTTCAAAAGATTTTTCCCATTGTCGAATTTCTTCTTTAGACGGATAAAGCATTGACGTACTTGCAAAATCCATTTTGTTCTTGATAAAACTTAGAGTTTTTGTAAAACTGAAAAATGCCGTCTTTTTCCCTTTGATGGTACAAAAGAACTTAACCTGATTCTAGCATAACAAAACTAATAGATTTAAAATTGCAAGAACAATTGTAAGTCATGCAAATTGTAACTCGGAAAATTCCATCTATAATAAGTCCAAATCTCTGTTTCTGTATTAAAAAAAAAGAAAGACAGAATAAATCTCGAAAACTGAAAATTTTAAAGCTCAGTAATTTTTCCTGCATCTTCATACTTACTCTAAATTTTCAAATAAAGTTAATTGCGAAACTGTTCAGCCTAAAAAACCAATCTCATGTACTGCGCGATGCAAGAATAGCTATTTCAATGTTATATAAATTTGAACCATACTAAACAACAGTAGAATCACAATACTCAATTAATACAGTTACTGCATAAAGAAAATTAGGTTTATTAAATTTGACTGAGCTAACTGAAAAGCAGCAGTTTTCAGTTTACTTCTCATTTTAAAATCTGTAATTATCTGAAGTCTTACAATGTTGATTTCCGTCTAGATGTAATAGAAAGACCTCCGTGACTTAGCCGACGCTCATTTTTAATTTTATCAGGGCTGCAAAATGAAGCAGAACGCCGTCTTACTTCCGACACCATAACATCCTAAAATATGCATGCTGCAGTCCAAAAACATTGCTCAAGAAGCCAAAAAACACCAATTTTCCAAACAAGTCCTAATATAACTCCTGTGCCAAAAATAACTCTTAAGTAAAGTACAACTTCCAAAAAACTATTTTGTAACCAAATTGTTCAGCTGGTGAAAATGAAAAAGAAAATGGTTTTTAAATCAGCCAAGGCAAATCTCTCTTGCTCAGATAAAAAACTACTATTCAAAACACTATAAGCGTTAGAAAGCTTCGAAAAATTTTTATTACAGGAGTTTTGAGCCTATTTTCGGAACATTCCGGTTCCACTGTATGCATTTCTTTCCTATCGCTACCGAACCAGTGAACTCCATCGACACTAGAAAACTCTGACGTACAATCACCTGCAAAAAATTAGAATTATATTTCTTTTTTTTGGTTTAGGTTGAATATTTGTTCAGTTGTAGCAACAAAAACCTCTTGACTCCCTCAAAAAGCCTTAAAACAGCAAAAAAGAGCCTACTGGTAGTGGTAATTGATGGAATCCCGAGGCGATATTTCAAGAACCGATCTGTGGAATTAATACTTGAACTTTCGGTTGTATAATCCAAATCGTTTGGATATTTTGGTGGTTGATTTTCAATTTGAGGATAGTTACCAATTGAATACAGTGGGGCAAAATAGTTACCGGTACTTCCGGTACTTGATGAGCATTCGGCACTGTAAGCGCCGTTGCCCGAATATGAAGATGTCAGTGTTAAAGCATCGCCTGATTGCGCACCATCCCGTAACATCTGTAAGTAGTCATCTGTTTTCAAATACCAATTTTATTTAGCCAATGACAACAGGAGATTCACAGTCCAAAGCCTTATTCAACCTGCTTTATTTTGTTTCTGATAATAGCAGCTTTAAAAATTACTATGATTTAATGCAGTAATTGAACTTATAGCTAACAGCATAATATCTGAAAGGAATGATGATGCCACCATTATCAACGATAGGTTCTGCCAATAATTCAATAAAAAAAGTCATATTTAAAATACTTATCAAAATTTATCTCATCTGAGCAAAAAGCAAAGCTCAACAGTATGAAAAGCAAAAAAAAACTTACGCAAATAAAACCGGAAATCTTATTAAAAAGCTAACTGATAGAATGTCATTACAACAGACCACCTTTACTTGTGCCATATTTTCAAGGAAAATCCAAAATAAGAAAATGATTTGTAAGCAAGCAAACATTTCAGATTAATGCATACAAAGATGAGATCTAATAATCTGGATGTCACTTGATGCAATTAGTTTTTCTCCTTCTTCTTGTCTTTCTGGAAGGGAAAACGAGCAAACGAAGAAATTTGGTGAGAAGGGAGAAATAGGAATGAAAATTGTCAACCATAAATCTTTTCCTCTTCCTCACATTAAGGTCAAAAAAGCTTTGTAAAACAAACTAATAATATGTTACACATCATTAAGTTTTATGAAAAGATGTGACATCGAATTTTATAACAGCCATCTACCAAACAAATACTGCAACAGCAGAATCTGCAGCTGCGATTGCAGTGTTCCGGTAGCAGAAATATTAGCTTCAGCTTTAATTTTAACTTCAAATTTTAGTTTTAGCATCAACATTATTATCAAAAAATATGCATATATCAAAAATATTACTTCATTCATTTTCTCCTACATGTTTCTTCAATTTTAAAACATCAGCCAAGTTCAGCATCATAAATAATATATTTGTCAAAACTGAAAAAATTAGCTCAAGTAGCGTCGCAATGACGCAACTATTCAAACAGATTTTTGTGCATGAGAATTTTCCACATAAACAACGAGAATCAATTTTGGCATCCTCCTTCCAGTCTTCTTATAGTCTTTTCTCTACCTTTCTGCACCATTTCACGTTTACAAAAACAAAATTTTCTGTTTTCTTAAAAAGAAAATTTTTTTGCATCCACAATATATAACTGTACAGTTTTTGATCGGGTAAAAATTAGTTAAAAATATAACTCCTACACTGCAGTTTCAAAAAATCGTCTATTCAATTGTGCAGGTAAGAAGCAATAAAAAGTTTATAAAGAAAAAAACAAATTCAAATTTAAAAAAATCCAAAGTTAAAAAGAAGACCAATAAATTGTATACCTTAACTGATGACTGTGCTCCTGTTGTACCAAATTCATCGTAAAACTTCTGGACTTTAATCTAAAAACAGCAACCAAAAAAAATGAACTTATTGTGGTAAAGATTAGGTGTCTGAACGTTGCCAACATAAAATCAATTTGCAGGTGTAAAAATATGGTCATAGCAAACCTGTGCTCAAGCCGTAAACAAGCTAAACGTTTCCACAAAAAAATAAAAAAAAAAAAAAAAGAATAATATGGATATTCTCCATCACCTACAAACAGTACCAAATAAAATAGCCCAAAAGTGTGTAAAAAGTATATTTTCACGCTACAGTAACTGTTTGTTGCAAATATTACCACCATTATGAATCTCAAAAAAGAAACAAAAACAAATGACAATTATATGTTTTCTTTTGTTCTAAACGAAAGGAACATTTAATCAGTCTGATAGACAACTAGAAGTTTTGGCTCAATAAATACATATTTAACTGCCGATCTCATCCTTCTTCCCTTCCATAATCTTAAATCTTCCCCTACAAACATTCTTCAAAAAGAACAAACGATTCAAAATTGTGCTCTCCAAATAAAAAAGTTTATTTTATTCTTAAGATCCCAGAAAAAAGAAAACAAAGATAAAGAAAAAAAATAACAGCAACAAAACTATATAAATTTTAGCGATTCCATTAATTTGGAAGCTCTTTTTAAGTTAGAATTCAGAAGTCATCAATAACATTGAAATATCACCACCACAAAACCAAATAAAACTAACAAAACGGAAAAGAAAGAAAAAAAATGGTTACATCCTTTGTTAAAAACACAAAAAAAACTTCTTTTAAAAGAAAAGGAAAGAAAGAAAAATCAATAAAAAAAACTGGAGAAAAGTTCTTTTTTGCGCTTAATGAAAATAATATATGTATGAAAAATGAGTTTATCAATTGTCCTAAACCCTTATTTAATAACTGCACAACAGATTTGTTCTAAAAAAATTTAATATTCTAAATAAAAGG